GCATCTCTTCGCCAAGGGCAATGTGCAGCCCGCAAACTATGTCGACGACATCAGAAGCATCCTCGAAAAGTTTGTCCACGTGAGTCACCAGCACCTGAGGATAGTTCGGCTCCTTGAGTTAGTCGAGAGTACTTCACGTCTCCGTGCAGCTACAGTAATTAACAGTTTTTAACAGATCTCAGGCACAAGCAGTGCTGACACTGTTAATTGCGGCACACTGCCCGAAACAACTTGCCTTTTGCAGCTCTTGTCTGGCGACAAGAAGCCAACGGAGCCCGCACGGTGGCTTGCATCAGCGATAGCACCTGGAACACTGCATGGTTGGTGCAGTGATGCGGCTTTTCACTTTGACTTCGACTGTCCTTATCACCGAGGAATGAGTCTTACAGGTCCTGCAGTACACCATGGCTCATATGCCAAGCTTCGAATTCCTCAGCCTCGTTCCGCGTATGGCGACCGGCGCGCAGAACCCAAATCAACTGCACCTGTTAGAGCCAACGAATAGTGCAGGACAAAGATGGTTCGATTTAAGTTACAATATCACTTGAACTAGAATCTGTCGAGACACTGCGCTGTCATCGCACTCGGAACTGCTGTTTTCTGGCTTCCGGAGTCAATAGAAAAACAGGGAAGTGCACGTGCCGCTTGTTGAATGAATGCACTGCAGTTCCTGGCAGGGCTGTCCTGGACAGCTGCCCAGCACGGGTAATTAGTATGATAAGTCTCGAAACAGGGCTGTGCATCCAAAAACACTGTTGCTTCTGCAACCACAGACGGCAAGTGTGATGACAGACGATCAATATAGTCGCAGGTCTTCCAGCAAGTGAACTGATGTCTACGACGGGAAGGGAGGTGCATGTGACATCCAACTCCCCCTGGAAATACAATGCGGCTTTTGTAAACACAGAATTAATAACAACGCCCGGTCCTGAGTTCAGTTCCAACATCGTTTACAAGACTTGTCTCTCTGGTTCCTGACATTAAGTTGTGAATGGCTCTGTACGTTCATGTGCTACTGCCACATGATGCAATATGCTGATGAACAGAATAGCGTGCTGCCTGCAATGCTGCCTGCATGCTCTGCTATGCACGACCAGGCTTTCTGCCACAAGAACCGCGGAACAAACTGATCATCGTCAACCCACCCCCTTCCAACAGCTACAGTACTGCAACCTCCCCACCGAGCAGAGGGAAGCAGCACGGCGGACCCTAGCAGGTGGCCGTGCCGCCGCAAGCTCGGCGACAGTTGTGTTGTCAAGCTCCCGTGACGGCTGGTGCTGCCCAAGGTGGGGGGGGGGTGACTCGAACAGCAAGGCGATCGCCTCTGGAGACGTCAAAGGCAAAGGAGTAGCGTGTGTCCAAAGCTCTGCACAGCCCCCCCTCGCAACCACGGGCGCTGATGTCCAGCGTGGGTAAGCTCCAGGCGTCGGCTGTCAAGGTGCGGACTTCCCCATCGAAAGCACGCAGACCCTGCTGGACCAGGAGCACAGGCATTACTGGGCGAAAAGACGACGACTCGGCAACGGGAGCCAGGCTCCGTCAGCAATAGCACGCCTGTCTGTGTCCGGGCAAGGCATCGGGGGCAGCAAGCAGAGGCCTTGCCGTATCCACGCGCTTCGTGTCAGTGTCTCTGTCGAGTAGCCACTGGGAGCCCCAAGAAGACTCAAGGCTATGATGGAAGCTGTCAGCATGAGCGGGCACGAGATGTTCGTCTGATGGAGACAAACCCTCCTGGGCATGAAAAAATATGAAAAACACGTCAGAGTCAGACAGGGGCAGTTGAGGCTCAGAAAATAGGACGCCGAGGCAACCGGATGAGTCCGAGAAATATGCCTTGTGCCTTGCAGAAACCTGTGGAAACAGGATATAGAAATTTGATACAGATCCTGGGACAGCGCCGGTGCAAAGCTCAAGTCGAAATACCTAAAGATATCTTTCGATTCGTCAACAGCTTAGAACCCCAACTTGCTGCTGTCGACCAAGATATCGCAACCTAAAATGAACCCGGGATAGGGGTATCATTACAGTACTTCTACATCGTGTACCCCTAAAGCATTCCTGATGTTAATTAAATCCCCCACACATCAACATGACCACTGGGGCAAGGACGTTGCGTGCTAAGGATCGGCTCACATGGAGGAGCAGTCGGCACATGTCGTTGCCTTGGTCGGGGTGGATGGGAGTATACAGTCCATATACGGCCTCAGAAAAAACGTAGTTGTGTATGTACCTTTTAGATACAGGTGAAGCTATGACTGTGTGTAGCTGTTTCACGACCGCTTGTTGGATTCGGTCAAGACGGCATCTCACGGTTGGATGCTTCGCGACCACCGGTGGACGTCATCACCTTATCGTGCCAACATCTTCATGGACTATCTGGCGCAGTGTCGCAAGCAAGACCTGTAACGGTCGCACTAGGATGTCGAAATATCAAAGCGGAATAGCCCACTACAATGAGACGGTTGGTTCTCGACGCGTTGACTTCAAATGTCGAAGGCTCTACGTACACACGTCGTAACAAGCATATGCGCGCGTCTGTGTGTGTATATACATATATATATATATGCAATTAGGCATACATATAGTAAACACACATACATATCATTACGCACAGAAACAGACTAATGAAATACACACATGAACGAACACACTCACACATATATAATTGTATTTATTTCTTCATTTATGTAAATATATACACACATACATACATGCATACATTACATTACATTACATTACATTACATTACAATACATTACATTACATTACATTACATTACATGACATTACATTACATTACATTGCATTACATTGCATTACATTGCATTAAATCAACTGCATGCATGCATGCATGCATGCATGCATGCATGCATGCATGCATGCATGCATTTTTCGGCACTCGCGCTCGACGAGGTCAGGCGAGGAACCCAGAAGACGACAGCTAGACCAACAGAGTCAGATTGAACTCCCAGAAAGTCATACAGGACGTGGCTAAGGCAGCAGTAGCACACTCTTGACGAGCAAACCCCAAAGTGCTGCAGCAAGGGCGTTTCACCCATGCCACATACATACATATACATACATACATACATACATACATACATACACAAACACATAAATAATTAAATACATAAATAAATAAACAAATACATATATAATATGTGGATGGCGTGTGTGTGTGTGTGACTGTACTATGTATCGACGTATGTATGTCTGTATGTGTTGGGGTGTCTGTGTGCATGTATGTTGTGCATGTTATTCTGTTCTGCTATGCCATGTTATGTATGTGAGCCGGCGTCAACAACACTTTGTTTATGCCAGTTTCGTTTTTTAAACTAGGGCATCCCCCATCGGTTTACAGTGTTTGCAACTTGAAGCATACTGGAACAAACTATACCTGCTTTGTAGGAGGGAGATACAGTATAGAACATGCAGCATTCGAGGGCGTGGCCTTGGGTTGCAATCATTGGGGCCTTGTGAACTTATTTTTGGGGCTTTTGGGTTTTGGGCTTCGCCTGTTTTGCATTTCGAAACGGCGCAGCATGGTGAAGGCATGAAGAACTGGTCTCTGAGAGCATGCAAGGCTGTTTGTGATGCAGAGTTGGTTTAAGCCTGGAGTGTAAGCCTCTAGGATTTCGCGAGTTTAAAGATGTTTGGACTGTTTGGAGTCTTCAGTCTTGGGGCTTGCGGGTTTTCGTCCAAGGAATACTGTAGTACTGGCACAGTACATGAACGGCCATGGACCCATCTCGGGGCTACATTTTGGGTATCGTGGTCCAATTTAGGGACGTCGTCTCATTTTTGAACATTCCATCCCCACAACCTCGGCACCCTTACTAAAACCTAAACTGCCAACACCCTCTCTTGACAGAAACCAGGAGCCAAGGGCTATAATGGCAACATTGCTGTATTGAGGGTATCGTCTTTAGAGCGTCCCCTTTCATTCTGCAGGTCAGCGCTAGCATTTGCCATCTTGGACAACCGCCTGCTTTAACACCCCCTGTACGAAAACTTTGACCCAATCTGATGTACTCATGCATGCAGGCATGCATGCATGCACGCATGC